TCGTATAGTTTTTTTTTCCTTATTAAAACCGATTATGTCTATCAGTGGTTGTATATCAATCAGGGACACATTTCTGTGCATTTTATTTCGTGATTTCACCGGAACGAATAGAGAGTCTCTGAAACGGATTAAAGCACGCATCCATGTGAAGACTGTGCGGTGTGCGCGAGTCACAAGAGAACACTTTATCTGCAAAAAAGTCACGTGACTGAAACCCATCTATAGGTGAGGCGCGCCTCCCCTGGGGGGCGCCAAAGAGCCACAGGGGAGGCGCGACAAGCGAAGAAAAAAATAACTGTATGCAGCTCTATTAATATCGCAGGGCTTAAAGTATTCCGGTAACGCATGCGATACATTTGTATATGATCACGCTCTTATTCACGCAAATGCTTTTAAACCATTCATTCGCGACAAGACGAAAAGAGAACGCGATGTCAGTAAATGTCCTCCTGACACACACACACACACACACACACAGAAAGACGCGCGCCAGTATCGAGTGCTCATTCTCAAAATGTCCGTTTTGTCGAGTATCCTCACAAGAACAGTCTTAAATGAGTTAAATAAAATCTTAAATAGAAGTAAAGAGTAGTGAGAGAATGAGATGCGGCAGATCTTAAAGTGACAGCGCACTCATTCTCTCTGTCAGTAAAGTTAAAGTGTTAATTGCAGGTTAACCACCACAACCAATTAATGTGTAGATTAAAGTGCTCAATATGTAAATATTAAAAAATTTCTGTCTTAAAATGCGTTAAAATAACATTTATTGGGGTTTCTTCAAAGGTAGCATGTTTTTTAACGTAACTGGGTGATGACGTCATAAAAGGGAGTAGCAACCCATACTCTGCTAGATTCCTACTGTTTGTGGCTTGACTATGGACAATTTTGAACCAGTCAGGCATGAGAGAGGGGAGGAAATTGCCAGAAATCATGGCCCTCAAAGAGTTATCTATACTTGGTGTGAGGAAAATGAGTGGAGGGTTGGCCAGGTGTCATGGTGAGTAGCTAGAGCTAGCCTAACGTTAGGTTAACCTGGTGCTAACCCGGATAAAATTAGGAAACAAGCCAAAGTCTTTTCAAAATCTTGTCGTCATGTAGAATAGCAAGGAGGGACAACGACTGAAGACATTATTTACTTACATGGTGTTAGTAGTCCTAATCAGAGCTGTAGAGATGCACACACTGCACAGGCACAATGACGCTTTTGCTAGCATCTGCAGACAGAACGCGATATTGCGCAAATAATTAGCAATGCTCATTGTCAGAAAGAAAAAAAGAGATCGATGTCCCTATCGCTGTGTTTGACAGGTGTTTGTGTGGGCTATGCCACCCAATGGAATCAGCAGTGGAGAGTATGTGCTGCCGTGAGGTGAACGCGTTTTGGAGTTTAGTGGAAGCAGCTCGACCCGCGCCGCGACACCGCACCCGGTGTTCAGACGATTTGTGCTGCCTTGTCGAAAAATGCTACCCAAGCGCGAATCGATCACAGAGAATGTCGATTCATTCTCTATTGTTTCCATAATGGTGTAAATCTCACAATATTATGACATCGTTATTTAATTTAAAAATTTGTATGGGGAGCATATTTTGATATTTTAAATGTACTAGCAATTATCACATTTGATATAACAAGTAAAAATGACATTATTGTATATTATATGAAATACAATTATAATAAAATTTGAAGTTATGAGTACTGTATACTGTACTGTCTGTTTTTATTTTTAAAACGGTGTGAAAAGTAAAAATTATCATCAAATAATCCATTAATCTGACGTGCCTCACGCAGCAGCATCCTGGTTTTGACACATGCTGCCTGAACCCGTTTGTTTTGCGAATAGTTTACACAAATTTCAGGCAGAATCACGGTAATCTCATAGCCAGCACACACGAGTATGTTTACAATTGGGTTATCTCATTCATCAACACCATTTTTGCTTGCTGAGTTAGGTCTCCAATATAACTGCTAGCCTACTTGCCGTTAGACTAACGCTAACTCTAGGCTTGGAGTCCCTTTTATGACGTCACGCCCAGCCTAGTGGAAGGGAGAGGGAGTGTAAAAAGTACCAACTTTTCATATTATATTCAGCATTTTGGTATAAAAAAACATACAAAAACAATGGTGGGCGGTTCTTATCTTTATGTTTAATAAGCACATTGCATTATCTTCATGAAAAACCTGCAATTTACACTTTAACCAAAGAACAAAGGGAACAGAAAATTACTCACTGCTCTTGACTAAAGAACGCTTGTAGCTTTAAAAAGGATTAATCTATATTTCATTTATAATTTATGCAGTGCAAACTGTTTTATGACTTTATTCAATTTCTGTATATCATATCTATTATCATATCTATGTATTTCATACCTGTTAGACAGGAAAGGTAGACTCAGGACTTTAGCCCCCGATATCGGTAATTGTGTGTAAAGCGTGTATTAGCTTTAAAATGCATCGTTTCCTTGTCCCAAGTCAACAAAAGTCAGCATTAAGGGATGAGACAGGAGCCATCAAAAAACGTAGGAAATATGATCCTGAGTAGTCGGGGTTCGAGGCTGCACCTCTGCCGCAGTGTGTGATCTGCAAGGAGGTGCTAGCAAATGATAGCATGAGACCATGCAAACTTCGGTGTCACATTGAAACTAAGCACACCAATTTAGTGAACAAGCCAGTTGAGTTTTTTGAGAGGAAGCGTGATGATTTGCAGTCACAAAAAAGCATAATACAGTTGTTTGGCACTATTAACATGAAGGCGACAGAAGCATCTTATCGTGTCATGTATAGCGAAGGCAGGCAAACCCCATAACATCGGCGAAACATTGCTACTTTTGTTGACTTGTGGTTAGGCTTACTGATGTTCAGTGATTTTAAAATTAGCCTCAATTACGCCTGCATAAAGTTGGAAATGATTTGCTGTTGCAAAGAATAGTTTATGAATGCACTTTTAAAAAAGTTGTGGAAATAAAATGTCTTCAAATACAATATTAAAAAATATTTACATTTTATCAGTTTTTATTGAAACTCACCATTGCCTGCCTGGAACACACAAAAGATGGCATTTACTGCAGAGGCGTGTGTGGGTTAGGGCAGGCGGGCGAGATTTTGGGGAAGGGGGGGCTCGGCTGTCCTAACCCACTGTAAGGGGAGGCTCACATTCACCCAATTTGAAAACCCCTGTACTAGAAGATTTACAACTGTCAGACTGTCGTCAAGCTCAGTTTGAGCCTGCGCAGTTGCTCAGCCATCAGACAGGAAGTGCAATAATCGGGCTTCAAGTTTCTCTGTTGAAATCAAGGGGGTCGCTGTGTCCATTTATTTTACTGTCTATGGTCGGGACTCAAACTCAGGTCGCCTGAAACTCAATCGTGCTTTATGTCGGTGTGTTGTGCTTCCCACAAGACTATCAGCGCAAAATCTTTTGATCATTGTTCTGAATCTGGTCTAGACGTAGTCTTTGGAAAAAAACAACACGATGTTCCCAGCTTTTTTTAAAAAATGTTTTTGATGAAAAGTACCCACATTAAAGTGTTAAAGCTAAAAAAAAATCTGTTCTGGTCTGTTCTTTATTTTGACATTGTATGTTCAGATAATCATACAACAAATTATTCTCGGGGCCATGAAAATTGTGAAAATCATCAAAATCATTATTAAAAAAACTGGTGGGAAAAGAGTTCAATTGAATAAAATTGTAAAACACCCATGGACATTTTTTTAAGGAATAATATACATATTTCTATTTATACCAAGGTGTATTTTTAAGTAAAAAATACACTTTTTAGTAAGTCATGAACACCCGGTAAAAAGTTACGGGGCCTTTGAATATTGTTGTGCAATATGTGAACTTTGGAGTCAAAATGTGGAGAATGAAGGTCATTAAGGTCAATAAAAAAACACATGTCTATCTACTAAACTAGTGGATCTAAAAGAGTGCTTTACACCCTGTATGAAGGCGGGAAGGTATTATAAAGAGGGCGAGAGAAACTTCCTTCATTGCATGCGCTTCTTCACTGCCTTCTCCTTATATAGTGTCAAGTGTGACACTTGTGTGAACTAACAGACATTATTAACTCAAGCACAACAGACACACTCGAGTGTGCTCCAGGCTGGAATGTGGAGAAGATATCGAGTGAACAGATAAAATTGGCTCAGTTTTAAAGCAAACTAAAGACTTGAAATACAGAACACAAATCATGTGGAAAACTGTTTTGTTTTTTCTAAATACCAGTATACATGATTTGTTTGTTTCTTACATCAGTCAGAAAAAAAAGAAAAGTTTCAAAGATTGGCAGCACTCCAAAAAATTGAGAACCACTGCATTAACTCATTTGCATACTTAGCATTGGTCATTTTTAGGATTTTCCACTCCATTAGTTGCTTTTAAGGATAAAAGAAAGCAATGAACCTTAAGTAAAACCTCAAGCTGATTTGTTTTGAGTGTATGTATTATAATTATTATATACTGATAGTCTGTTATTTCTGTTTTGAAATTATTAACATTGCATTGTTGTGCTCAAAAACAAGACAAGGCACAATGCTGCCCTGAGTTGTCTGATAAGAAAAGACGAGTTATCTTCTCCAAAATAAACTGTTTGCATTATTAGGTCGTAATCTCTACAGTTACAGAGCTCATCTCTAACCTCTCCCAAAAGTACATTCACCATAGTTTTCCTTTTTTATCCCTTTAAGATTATTTTTTATTTACAATTAAAGATGCTACATAAGAAAGTAATAATGTTTATTATTAATAATCTGAGGTGTTTGATATGAATCTGATTGTTGTGAACTGTTAAAACATAACCATTAAAACATATATTTATGAAACGCTAACCTAAACTACTAAAACCAGATGAAATCAAACCCACAGAAACAGAATTTCAGGACATTCTCTGTAAATGACAGTTATGTTATCCATGAATAATTATTATATTATACTACACTAAAGTAATCACTTTAAATCTAAATATAACAATTATTACATTGATAGACATTTAAATCTACTCACCAGAGAAAATAACTTTATATTTTCTGTATGTGGTCACTCCTCTGCTTTTGATCTCTAGAACATAAACTCCGGCGTCTGTTTTTCTGAAGTTTCTGATGATCAGAGATCCAGTGTGAGGATCCAGCTGCAGTCTGCCTCTGAATCTCGGATCATACCAATAGGTCTTCTTGTCATTTTCACTCATTGAAGCAATAGCAGACTCTTTAACCACGGAGACACGTGTCCACCGCATCTTATCACCTTCCTTTATGTCATGATAAGACTGTAGGACAGCACATTCTCCCTCCTCACGTTTAACAGTCACAGGTTTCATTGAATCTACAGAACACACAGAAACAGTTAACACACAGGTTAAAAATGTCAGTAATCAGATCCAAATGTGATCAGTGAGTTTATCTAATATGTGTAAACTATAATAACACAAACAATATACTGTATGTATTTTTTATCCTAACTAGATGCCTACTGCAGATAATTCTGCAACACAGTGGACAATCATAACCATTGCATTGCTCTGCAGAAAATACTAGAGGTTCCATTCATCCTGATTTAATAATAAAAATATATATTTCAGAGATAAAACTCTGAAAAGTCAAGTCACCTTTATTTATATATAGCGCTTTTTACAATACAGATTGTTTCAAAGCAGCTTTACAGAGATAACAGGAAAACAATGTTGTAATAATATTGTTAAATATAAAATGAAATGAAAACAATGTACAGTCAAATAACAAGTCTGGCCATTTGCATTTAGATTTTTTTGTAGGGAGAGTGTGTTTTGTTAATAGTAAATGTTAGTCTTGTTACATGTGTTATCTGCAAGGTGAACATTTAAACTGACTTAAATATACTTTGCAAGTCTATAACCAATAACCAAAATATACTTTGAAAGTTTATAACCAATGGTCACCAATGCCACACACTGCCACAATAACCAGAAAGGTCAAACACTGCAGTGTATCATATTCCAATATTTCATCAAAGCATGTTTCTATATGCATAAAGAGATGGTATTGACATTAGTCAGGGTAGCGCCATATTTAATTTTTTTACAGGAATGAAAACGAGGAGGCTGTGAGGGAGAGAAGTAGTCAGTGCTTTCAATGGATTTTACTGTTGTTTAACAACATACCGATTGTTCAGCTGATGCACTGACAGTGTATGTCAATGTAAAGACTGTAAGTCTATCCCTCAAGGCCTGGTTTTCATCTGTGTTTAATTCAATAGTGTCTAACCTGACTAAGGTCTATACCCTAAATATCCACAGACTCTGAAACTGCTGGAATTTAGGGTTGTACATTAAGAAAAAACAAGTATTATTAGAGTATTATATGACAGTGTTCACAAATAAAATATTTTTTTTTACATGATATTTTCAATGTTTCATGGCGACATCGACTGTCTATGGGTTCGTAACTATTTGACAACAAATGACTGTGCCTCTGATTTATACCGTATATTAATAAAAAAAATCATTAATTATTGTAGTAAATGAAATTGTGGTAAGTTTAAATATTTAGTATGAAAAATATGACTCTTTTCAACCCTACACTACTGCAATAAAGCTCTTTATTTTTCTCTGTAGGTAGTACTTACCTATTTGTTTTTCTCGTTCAGACCTTCTGTAGCTAATGTAAATCACAGCAACAGCAGCAGCAGCAGCAGCAGCCACCGCCAGCACAGCAACAACTATCCCTACGATAACACCTGAAGATGGAACTGGTACAGAAAGACAGACATTAGTGTGAATGTGTCTGATCTATAACACACACTATAAACATCAGCACTATATAACCTGAGTGTAGATCTGATACTGTAATGATAAAGACAGACATTAGTGTGAGTGTGTCTGATCTATAACACACACTATAAACATCAGCACTATATAACCTGAGAGTAGATCTGATACTGTAATGATAAAGACAGACATTAGTGTGAATGTGTCTGATCTATAACACACACTATAAACATCAGCACTATATAACCTGAGTGTAGATCTGATACTGTAATGATAAAGACAGACATTAGTGTGAATGTGTCTGATCTATAACACACACTATAAACATCAGCACTATATAACCTGAGAGTAGATCTGATACTGTAATGATAAAGACTGACATTAGTGTGAATGTGTGTGATCTATAACACACACTATAAACATCAGCACTATATAACCTGAGTGTAGATCTGATACTGTAATGATAAAGACAGACATTAGTGTGAATGTGTCTGATCTATAACACACACTATAAACATCAGCACTATATAACCTGAGTGTAGATCTGATACTGTAATGATAAAGACAGACATTAGTGTGAATGTGTCTGATCTATAACACACACTATAAACATCAGCACTATATAACCTGAGTGAAGATCTGATACTGTAATGATAAAGACAGACATTAGTGTGAATGTGTGTGATCTATAACACACACTATAAACATCAGCACTATATAACCTGAGTGTAGATCTGATACTGTAATGATAAAGACAGACATTAGTGTGAATGTGTCTGATCTATAACACACACTATAAACATCAGCACTATATAACCTGAGAGTAGATCTGATACTGTAATGATAAAGACAGTCATTAGTGTGAATGTGTCTGATCTATAACACACTATAAACATCAGCACTATATAACCTGAGTGAAGATCTGACACTGTAATGATAAAGACAGACATTAGTGTGAATGTGTCTGATCTATAACACACACTATAAACATCAGCACTATATAACCTGAGTGTAGATCTGATACTGTAATGATAAAGACAGACATTAGTGTGAGTGTGTCTGATCTATAACACACACTATAAACATCAGCACTATATAACCTAAGTGTAGATCTGAGTGTATTTAGTGAGTAAATATATATGCTAATGACGGTGATAATTACATTTAAACATTAAAACAGAGATGAAACAATTAAAAATGTTTAACAACAGTCTTGCTTATTTATCACAGATCTATTCACAGGTTTCAATGTAAGATACAAGCCATCTCTTTTAGCTATTAAAAGGCCCGGGGAAAAAGTTGTGAACACTGAAAGTTATATTGGTTTGTGTTAAAAGAGAGTTTTATGATTTGAGTCCTTTAATGTGAATTATAATGTTATCTGAATTATTTATAGACAACCGATAAAAAAGCCTTCATAAGACTCGAGTTACTCACCACTGACAGTAACAATGAATGTCTTATATAACGTCTGTTTGTTGCTGCTGATCTTCACTGTATAAAGTCCAGCGTCTGTGTTTCTGGTGTTCATGATGGTCAGAGATCCAGTCTGATGATCCAGCTTCAGTCCGTCTCTGAATCTCTCATCAGTGTCATGTAATAGTGGGCTCTTTGCGTCTATATCATGTTTAGCTATGAGTTTTCCTTCTCCAAACCTCCACACTATCAGCTCATCTCCGTGTGTTTCAGTAACATCAGTCTGAAGAGTGACAGAATCTCCCTCCATCACTGACACACTCTTCGTTTCAGCTTCACCAGCATGAACAACAGATGGAGACTCTGCAAGAAACAGATTCACAGACACACAGATTAAACATGTTGAACACTGTGACTGGCACTAGAATATCAGTTTATCTTATGGTTACTAAACAAGGCATATGCAGATTGATAAAGGTAATCAGTTTAGTGTGTACAACAGTTACTTTTGGTTGACTAATTTAATGATGTGTCGTTTTATATTAGAGCACAGGAACATTTCACTATTTGAAACGCTACTGTAAGGGGTGTACAGTTAAAGACCCAGAACCAGATATGAAGAATGAAGACCCAGAGTCAGAATTATAAAAAATTAGAGAAAATATTTAAGATAGTTTGCAGTTTCATCAGCAGAAGTCAGCTTCAATACTCGCACAGGAGTTCGTAGGCCGCCCCGCTTACAGTTACACAGATCACAGCAGTTATACGATTTCCAAGGTCTAAGCTACGTCATTGCTTACAGGATGAATGATTCTCATTGGCTATGAAATAGATAAACACAGTAATTTTCCACACATATACAGATAGACTGAAGCATATCTCCATCGATTATGCAGCTGAAGTTAGGCACGTCATGACCTTCCAGGTCGCAGATTTGGGTTGCTGGGCGCCAGCATGTCCAGAACAACAACTCAGTCAATCTCCAATAATGCAGTGGTTCCTTAACCTGTAACCAAGAAGACTAACACACACACCGACACACAGCTTTTCCAAGGTTGGATTTGGCCAGGCTCTCACTATAAACAGGAGAGTCCTCTCAAAACATCAAGATAATGCGTTCTTTCTCTCAAGGATGGCTAAACTTTAGTCTAACAGGAAAGAAAGGCTTTAACAAAGAAATGGCCCCTTAAACTATTGGCTTCAATGACCCCTATATGTTTTAACACATTGAAGACCTTTCTCAAACCCAAAACAAGTCCCTATTTCATTTCCGGAAGCTGTGTTAAATAAGCAAGCACTGCATTCAGATATCAAATACAGACATTAAAGAATACATGAAAAGAACATTTCAGTAATCACACTGGTAACTTATATAAATAAAGTAAAATCTCCAGAGAAGTCATTCAACTCATTTGATATTTAGAAGGAAAAATATTGATTAATACCTTAATTATAATCAATCATTACATATACATTGAAGCAGCAGTGGATTCCAATCCACCCCCTTCACTACAATTGTATGTTTTCAATAGATAGAATTACAATTCATAATTCTATACAATAATTGATCCTGCTTTGAATTATTTCAAAACTATTACCAATAGAATCAAACTAAAAATATCTGACCAAATTGCGTGTAAAATGTAAGTCAATCAATATGAATTTATTTCTAAAACTATAGTATATTAGCAGTATCACACTCGCCATCATGCTGATCATATGCGTGATGATATTCAGAACAACAGCATGGCTGTGATCGAGAAACTACAATTCTGTAAGACTGTTGAACACATAAGAAATATTTGCTGGTGAAATCTCAGCTTAATTCAGTTTAATTAATAAAACAAAACAAAAACATTAAAACATTTAACTATCGATAATAAAAGTATTCTCACCATAGACAGTAACACTGAATGTCATACGTGAGGACCCAGAGTTGAGGTCGCTTTCTAGTTGATAAAGTCCAGAGTGTTTGGTTCTCATGTTCTTGATGGTCAGAGATCCAGTCTGATCCAGCTGCAGTTTCCCTCTAAATATCTCAGTGTGACTGGGATATGAGATATCCTTTCCATCGATTTGAGCGATAGTGGAACCTGACTCTCCAAACCTCCACAGTATCAGAATTATTCGCTGTGTTTCAGTAAGATCCGTGTTTAGAGTGACAGAATCTCCCTCCATCACTAACACTGACTTCACTTCATCTCCATCAACACCACACACTCCTGCAGAACAAACAGAAACAGTTTCTCAGAGATTAAACTCATGTAACACTGATAGTGATGTTAGTGAACAGATTTAACTGAGAATATGCTTGCACAATAAGCACAATTTGAATAATTAAGGTCCCCTATTATGCTCATTTACAGGTTCATAATTTGGTTTCTGGAGTCTACCAGAATGTTTACTTAATTTAAATGTTAAAAACCACTCTCTTTTATTTATAATTTGTATTGTTGCAGCACCTGTTTTCATCCTCAACACTGGTTTATTTTTTGTTTCTTTTCCTTCTGAAAAGAAAATCTGCTCTGCTTGGTCAGTCAGTCCGAGTCTGTTGTGATTTGTGACAGTAGTTAGGGTTTATCAGCTCGTTCTTGACTGTCATTGTCAGACTCTGGCTCAAACTGATACACAAAACTGTTAGCATAGTTAGCATTACAAAGTCATTCCGTTCAAAATCAGCCAAATATCAGAAACATTGACTACATTTTTTAGTTTTGTTGTTTTTTTCCTGAAGAAGGACAAAGACAAAATAGTGATTGAAGACAAAATATGAAATGTCATGAATGTATATTTACGGAGTAATCCACTATTTTGTGGAGAGGGGTCAAAATGACAATTTTCACCTGAGATTCGAGCCAAAATTACAGAGAATAGTAAAAATGACTTTAGAAAGATGGCAGCATCATTTTATTTTTTTACACAGAGATTGGTAGGTCTGCTAATGAAACCTGTTGACCTTAGCAATCTTTGTTGCATTGTATACCAACAGTGACAATTTAAAAATGGGGAGAAGCACTTTTCATGGTTTTCACTTTTCCAAGGTTTGCATGCCTGCAACTTTCAAGAAGTATTAATGACTTCCTTTTAGATTTTGGCTCTTAAACTTTTATTTTGTAATCTTCATTTTAAAGGCCCCGTATGTTTCAATCCCAGAAATATGGAGATCTTAATGCGGTTCAGTGAGTAAACTGGTATATGTGTAGTGATAATCAGATCGGCAGTTGAGCCAGCTCTGGTATGTTGGAGTGAATTAACTAGATTCTAATTTAGTTAAGTTCCCCTTTAACTTCCATTCGTTTGAATTGATTAAATCATTGACTCCATTCTCACATGCAGCGTCTCTCTCTAATGAATGAACAACGAAGTGCTTTGCTTACGAGTTGAGCCAACTCTGGACATGTGACTCGAGATAAGACCTCATGGGTCTGACCGACGATCACGGGGTCTCCTTGATTTGATCACTTCACAATGCTGCCTGAATGCTGACGAACAATTACCCATTCCAACACACACACAAATCTGTCCCCAATATCCTCACTGAAAGACATTTAACCAGATGTATTCGATGTGTTTTTATGTGTGTCTGTTTGCCCATGTCCCATGGGAATAACTATGACGTTATCATAGCATAAAGTTAATTGTAAATACCTTCATTATGCATTTTGAATATAACTGTGTATTCCTCTTACAATAACGTTCTTACTACCTGTAGAACACTCGTGGCGTGAACAACTTGAATATGCATACAAATATTGAGTAAAGTGTATTTTTGATCAGTTTTACTCTAATTCAAGATCGAAGTGTCTTTAGACTGTAAACCCTCCCCGCTCGCACACAGAGATGAGGAGCGTGCGCTCTCAGACAAAGAGTAATAAAAACTGATTTCCCGCCTGTGACTTCCAACTCTCCGATTGGCCAAGCCGACAGGGAGAGGCGGGATGTCTCCCAGGTGATATATGTCGGCGCGCTCACTTCAACTCAGTTTTGCTTCTGAAACCTTCCTGAAAACTCTCTTCCTAAACTCCCTGGCTCTTCCTGTTCTTCGATGCTTCATCATGTGACTCCTCGTGCATCTGGACCTCGCCTTAGTGTGATGATCCATCGTTTCTCTTTTTGTTTTCTTCAAGTTTATTTTATCTTTTTCGAAGTCTCCTCTGTTCAGGTCTTCTCGCGAAGAAAATGAACAGTCAGACTGGCAAGCTTCACCTCCAAGGACATTCAAACACGCCGCGCTACCGCGCGCTGAACGAACTCGAACGCTCGGCATCCACATGACCGAGAGAGACACACGCCTGCTTCATCAGTCAACCGCAAAAGAGCTTTACCTGTGCAAGTAACCGTTTACCATTCTTTCGAGGTTTAAGATCTGTGATTCTTGTTGTCTCAAAAAGGTTCTGTCTGTGATGAATTTTGCCAAACCAGAAGATCTCTCATCTTCTTAATCTCTCTCTCTCTCTCTCTCTTCACAACTCTCTCTCTCCCTCTTACTCCTGTTTGTTATTCGTCTGTCTCGTTAGTTTTACTGTTTATCTGTTGTAAGGACTGGGCCAGGGTGAATCTGAATAACTAAATACCTTCGTGCTAAAATCCCAAAGCCTTTAGCCCCAAAAGGCCTGGAACTTGAAAAAACACACACAAACACACACACACACACACACACACACACACACACACACCTCCCCCACAGCTGACACCCACACTCAGGACAGAGCGTGGTTTCCTGTTACGAGACACTTGTATGACTGACTTGGAATTTGATGTTCAAAGAGAAAGAAACTTCTTTTCTTTAAAAGACATTTAACCCGATATATTCGATGTGTTTTTATGTGTGTCCATTTGCCCATGTCACATTGTAATGACTATAATTTGTCCGTAACTTAAAAGTGAATTATAAATACCCTAGGTGTATTTTTAATGTAAATGTTTACCTATAACAGTCGTGTTTGATATCGTAAAAATGCCCTTGACTTGACTCAGCCAGATATATGTATGAACACACCGTAAAAGGTATGATTATGTGCATAACACATCTCTGCAGTAGAAATGACCCTTCCTAACACAGGTCATAATTTAATTAGACAAGCAGTCTGACAAGACAAAGAGAAATAAAACCCAAAGTCCCGCCTGTAAACTTCCAACCCTCTAATTGGCCAAGCCAACAGGAAGAGGCTGGATTTCTCATAGTGTGATAAATGACGCTTCTCCCCTGCGCTCGCTCTCTTCCTCCCGTGTCATGATGTAACGTCTCGCCTCCGGGCGAGCTCTTCGCCTTTCTTTTATTTGTTTCTAGTTTAGTTGTGTTTTTCATTTGTAGATAAGTCTCTGTGTTTAATTCCAATCGACGATTGAAAAGGAAACCCCGTGACCGTGACATATCTCTTCAGCAAATCCATCTACCAGGGACCTTTAAACGAGCGCGCGCTCTCTTTGAAGGAGAAACACGCGCACGTGACCACGTGACGCGCCGGACCGAGAGACACACACGCTTCTTCAAAGCCATGGAAAGATGCAACGTTAACTCCGCGTGATTTCCCCGTAGAGATCTTTATTCCCTTTTTGTTAGTCAAAGTTTTGTTTTCCGTAGCCGACTCAGTTCACTTCCACGAAGTGAAACGAACTTAGCCGAACTATTTCCCTTTGGAAATGTTACAACAAAGACTGTAAACCTCCGTTCAACACGCGCGCCAAGCAGCCCACGTGACGCTTCCTCACACCCAAAGGACTCAGCTCACGCGGCCAGACAGGGCCGTACAGGAATGTTTCGGCACAGAGAGAAACCATAACATAAGTTGATTGCAAGTATAAATCTCTTTATAGAGCTTCTAAGAAGTTTTAAGATGATGTTCCGTGTTGTAATCGGAGAGGTGAATGTCTTCCTGCCAATGAAATTCTCCCAATTTCTCTGTTCTCTCTCTCCCCATCCCCTTTCCTCTCTCTCTTACTCGCTCACGCGTGTAAGTTATCAATTGTCCAAACTTTATGCATTTCTCGTTCATTGATGTCTTATTGTATCGTTCATTGTTGTCTATGTGTTTGTAAATACATATATCCCATGTAACCGTAGTAAATACATAAGTAGTCATGCCTCTATTAAATTAATTATATATTCATTAGATTGATGTGCTGTCTTTTTGCTCAATTTCAAGTCACTTAAGTGCCAGGTCTAAATGCTACAAGCTTTATGAATTACAGATACTTTAAAGAGTAACGTTAACGTTATGTGTTGATGGGCGGGAAACCCAATTCTTCTGGCCAGAGAATTGCGTTTCCTGACATCCTATAAAGTAAGATGATATTGTGGATCCCACAAATATTATCCTGACAATTGAGCTAATTCATTTTACCTGTGTGTGAAACATGGCCCGGGTAATTAACTGCAAGCAACTTGTGGTTAATTTCCGGGATTCACATGCACGCATGCAGGTAGAATGACCGATCCTCCCTTATCGGGAGATTTATTAACATGTAAGACAGATCTAATCCAAACATGTATGAATAATTATTAATTACCAATTATTAATTATGATATGCAAATTCCCCACGGATTAGATCCGCCCTGAATCCTTACATAAAGTGGTGGAGAATGCGGGCACACTTTAAACTTGTTTCTGAGCAAAAATCAGTTTTCAATCTATGTGTATATTGTTATTTAATATTGTTTATGTAATATTTAATATTACACGTGCGCATCGGAGTGAACGCTTGCGAACTCCCGATCTGATTTAACAAGCTGCTAAATGTTCAAACATCTTAGTCACTTTTAATCGCTAAAAGTAAACTGCAGTTCATAGTATTAAATTTGTCCCACAAAAGACGAAGAAACCTCTTTTGAACGACGACATTTTTAATGTTAAACTCCCCTGTCCGAACGATGTTCTTCTGTCAGGGTGAAGACAAGATTTAGTGAATCGATGCTCTTTCACTATTCTTAAAAAGGCCTTATTTTATAATCGTTACATTAACGATAAACTCCGGGTTAAAACATTGACGTAGCTACTCAATTGTAAAAACCTAAAGCATATTTAATCATAGGTGCTATTTGATATATGTTATGGGAGTCGAAAAACAGATGAATAATTCCTGTTTTCTCTCGCACAACGCAGCGACGAATCCTGCTAGATGTGCTTGTAAAACATAGCACCGAAAAAAAAAAAAAAAATCCAACACTGAAAACATTTTTAAATCATAAAATGCTATTTGATAAATGTTATTTGGATCCGAAAAACAGATGCCTAATTCCTGTTGTCCACAATTTACGTGTAGTGCAGCGAAGAAATCCTGCCACGCACTTGTGTGAAATATAGCATAGAAAAATCCAAAACTGAAAACATTTTTAATCAATGCCATTTGATAAATGTTATTTGTAGTTGAAAAACAGATGAATAATTCCTGTTTCCTTTTGCACGACGCAGCGAAGAAAACCTGCCAATGTGTTTAAAATAAGTATAGCACCGGAAAGAAATCCGTCGAGA